TATTATATTCTTTTTTTTTTAATGTTAACAATATATTTATTGAGTTCTTTTATATTACAAAACAAGCAAATGATAGTACAGTTAAAATAAGATTTAGAAAAAAACTTAGCACCAAGCATCGTTTTCTAAATTAATGCCCTTCATAATGTCTCGAAATCTCAGTTAAATGTGACCACATTTCTTTTATAATCTGCTCCCTTTCCTCTGAGAATATAAGCAGGGCTGGACTGAGACAAAAAATTGGCCCGGGCATTTTGACTAGAGACCGGCCCATCAGGCATTATAGGAAAAGCCATAAAGCCTTTGCATGAAAACAACTGCTTTGATGTACACTGATACGAATGTGGCAGGATGAATGTTATCCCTCGGTCCAACCCACTTTCAGCCTGGCACATTAGGGGGCGCTGGTATAAATAGTGGCCATTTGAGTGTCCCTGGGTCGCTTGCCTGTGATCTCCTTTTTGGTCACCTGACTTCCCTTTGGTGTGGTAGAGATCATTTGCGGGTTACTCTTCTGAAGTCTCCATCGCGGCTGGTCGTAGCTATAGAAGCCTCCTCTGAGCTATTCTGCTTACGTTCTATGACACGGCTTACTTGGTACGTAATCAACTTTTGTTACGCTCTCTGCCTTCTATTGTTCTTTTATAGTAATTATTTATTATGTTTCGCAGGAAGTGTGGGCCTTAGTTTTGCGCCAAGCTACGTGAACTGAAGTGCTGCTGTTTTGCCTTGCTGTGCTTTTATCGTCTGTTCCCGTTGTGAGATTTCTTTCCCTGCTGCTGTCAGCTTTTACAGTGGACGTCGGCGTGGACAACGGCCATATGCATGCCGGTTATCGGAGTCAGCTGGCGTGCATATTGATTGACTGTTAACTTGTCGTCGTGTGACGGCAAGTTGGAGCAGTACGGCGATTCCGTTTGCTCCAGATTTTAGAGTTTTATCCAGATTGTATGTTGTTTTATTGCTTTTGATTTGTAGTTTGGATTTTTGTTACACCACTGGTGGGAGGCCCTTTTTCTAGCTGTAGATCACCAGTGTGGTCTTGCAGTTGGGTTATCCCCCGGTGCTACACATTAGTTTGTTGTAATATATTAAAATTTTCTTTGTTTCTTTTATTCAGATGCGGAGTGCCGACGTGGAGGAGACTAGGGTGCCTTGGTGGTGGGATCCCTTGAGTGTACACACCTGCCTTGTTTAGTTTATTAGTGTGATAGTGTGTTGCACTTGTGTGTTGGTGTGTTTTCTTTCTTTAGTTTGTGTGTGGCATCCCTGCCCCTCCACTGGTAAGCCTCAGCTCTGAATACCTTTTTAAGCATATTTGTACTTGAATATTTATGATTGTGCTTTTATATGGTGTTTTAAATAATTATTAATAAATTGTCAATTTGTTTATCATTGAACCTCGTCTCTGGATTGAGTATAGCGAACCTAAGTGCCTTTTTCGGTGATTTAGTGTTATTTCCAGTATTCTCTGGGTGAAATTCCCAGGGTGGCGTTGTCGTTCTTTAAAACTGAAGAGTATTTACTTTATATCCCAACCTCGTCTGACACTGCCTTGTTGGTATATATGTATCAATCTAATAAAGTTAAACCTACACCATTCTCCCTATTCGGGATTTTAAACAGTACATAGCGGAAACAAAAAGACTGCTTGGTAGAGTTAACCTCCTGAACTATCTACAACACATGGTAGAAACCTGAAATTAAGACCAAGAACACTAGAGGTGAGACATGATCATTAATTAATATTAAAATTAATAAATGACAGATTTAGGGATATTTTCATAAAGTATTTATTTACCAAAACAATAGAAAACAGCATGGTAGCACAATATATTTTGTTAACACAGCAACCTTTAAATATGAAAGGAGACAGAGAAAGAAAGGTGAGAAAGAAGAATAAGAATAACACTTAATTGAGTTTTTGATGGCATTTTACACACAGTACTAATACAGTATCTAGAAAATATGGGAAAATACTGGCATCATATACAGTACTTACTTCTGAAGAAATTATATGGGACCCTGAAAAACAGGACACAAGTGAAAGGACAAAGAACTGTGAATGGCAATTGATGGACTTGCTCAGATGATCACAGCACTGGTCGTTGTGTCCTTGGGCAAGACACTTTACCCTACCGCCTACTGGTGATGGCCAGAGGGGCCGATGGCGCGATATGGCAGCCTCGCTTCTGTCAGTCTGCCCCAGGGCAGCTGTGGCTACAACTGTAGCTGCCTCCACCAGTGTGTGAATGTGAGAGTGAATGAATAGTGGAATTGTAAAGCGCTTTGGGTGCCTTGAAAAGCGCTATATAAATCCAATCCATTATCATCATTATTATTATTATTATTAACTGTAGCCCTGCTGTCAAATTTAAGTAGACAGGCGCTGAGGTTCTGAAATGCATTACTTGGAAGAGAAACTGTTCTGACCTGGCTAAACTTCCTGGGGTCCAACCATGCCAAATCGGCAAGAAGAGGGCCATGTATGACAAATCGTCTGTGGATTGCTTCAATAACTGTGTCCAGGATGATGTTGTGCACTTTCACCTCATATGATTTCTCAGCATTGATTTGCAACTCATCTTCAGGCATCTCTCCGGCCATGCCTTTTCTCTTTTTGGCTCTCTTTTTAGGTAGTTCAGCCTCCACTTCCATGTCTGTGTTGTTCTCCCTCTCCTCTAGTTTTTGATTTGTCTGTTTCACAAATGTGTCTGCAGCTGTCTTCACAGTTGGAAAGTCCCTGGCAATACTTTTGAGGCTATCTTGTGTGGCAGTCACCATATGATGGGCAGAGAGAATGTCCATCCCCTTTGACTGGAGGTACTTTGACAGAGGAGTTGTTTGCTCAAACACTCTAAGAAATATCTGTGCTGTTAACACAGTTTCATGCTTCAAGAGACACTCTTTAAAGCCTCGTGCTTTGGCACGAACAGCTGGCTTTTCTTTTTCCCTCTTTTCAATGGCTTCCAGCGTCAGCACTACATCAACGAAGAGGCCATCATCTGGTTTTCCAAAATGTCCAAAGATTTTCTGGAGGGCATCATGCTTGGCCCACCACCGTGTCTCACCTATTGGACTGAGGCGTCTGTGTCTTGTGTTTTCGGTTTGTTTCTCCCACAGATTAACCCTGTGATAGGACTCCTTGATGAACACAGCTATGTCATTAAGTAAATTAAAGAGTGATCCACTTTCAATGACACTTTGTGTTGTGTCAGCAATCACAAGATTAAGTATGTGTGCATAGCACCACACATGCACATGAGTTGGAGACTGGGCAGTCATAAGTGCTGAAAAGCCTTTGTACTGGCCCTGCATATTTGAAGCACCATCTGTTGCATTCCCAATGCACATGGCCTTGTCTAGATTCAGATGCTCTAAAACTCTGGAAAGCAAGTTTACAAAGTACTGCCCCGTGGATGCTTCGCACCTCACTATGGAGACAAGCCTCTCCTGCACAGACTCGGTAACATACCTGATGATTACTGAACACTGATCATAACCTGTGATGTCTTGGGTTGTGTCTAGCTGAACAGAAAACACCCCAGCTGTCACAATCAGCAGGGCTGACTGTGTGTAGAGTGAAGGGTGGACCCAAATGCAGACGGAAACAAAATGTGAAACATGACTTGAATAACAGAAAACGAGCCATTTATTGAGGCTGGCAAAATAACTGTAAACAAAAGGCAAAATGCAAGGCTAACAATAAACTAAACTGGGTGAGCTAAATTAACTTAAAAACCTACAACAGGAACATGGACTTGACATGAGGAAACTTGACGCAACTTCTTGGCTTGCAAACAAAGCAGACGATCTGACAATGACACACTGAAAACACAGGACTTAAATACACAGGAGGTGATTAGGGGAAGTGGGAACACATGGAGGAACAGCTGACTGACATGAACCTAATGACAGGACAGGGGAAGTGAAACTAAATACAATGAACAAAGAACACACGACTCCTTCAAAATAAAACAGGAAACACTGAAACTAGACATGACAACACAAGCTTAACAGACCTAACACGTGATGAACGATACAAGAACTCAAACATAGAAACCAAGGAAACAATAAATAATAACTGCCTTTCCTTAACTAAAGCTAAATAGGAATGACACAAACTAATCACATATCTAAAATGAGACAAATACAAAATGAACTCAGAGCGCTGGGTCAGAGACCCAGCCTGTGACACCAGCTTTCTGGACATCACTGGCGATGCTCTCTTGAAGGAGATGGCCAAGTGCATCAATCACTGAGTTGACAGTTGTTTTGGAGAGTAGGGTGATGAGAGATCCTCTACCTCTTGATCCACTGGTCTGATGCAACTTCTTGCTTTTTTCAATGCAGTCATTCAAATGTTCTCCAAGGCACATATCATACTTGCCTAATAACACAATCAGTTCCAGAAAGTTACCATGATCGATGGTGTTATCACCTAAAGTGTATGCAGCCTCATTCTCCACATGCCTATAGCTGAGTCCCCTCTTCCCAAGTACTTTGATCACATCCACTATACGCTCTAAAACTTGCCGTCTCTTTTTCACTTGTGCTCTGTGAGCTGACAACTGACTGCCAGCAAACAAGCTCCTGATGTTGCCTTTTGAGCACCTTAAGAAAAAAGCTTCAGCACAGGTCTGGTGTGTATTGCTCTTTTCATGCTCCTCTGTGCGCAGATGTATATGTCGCCAGTCACTCATGCCTGTTATAAATGTGCTGGTGTCAGTCTCGTCTTATATATATATATATAATATAAAATAATAATGTCCACAGATTATTTTAGCATATATGTGAAGTGCATCTATGTAACTGTATGGTTTATTAAGAATGTAGTTTAAACTTAACTCAGAAATGTATTTATTCATTTTATTATTTATTTATTTGTTATTTATTTTTAATTTATTAATCTATTGATTTTGCCTTGATGACTCTCAGGTTACTAGAACAAAATTTTTTTAATGAGTAGATTTTTTTTCTTTTAATTCTCCATCATTAAGTTTGAGTTCTGATAAATTGCACTACAACTCTATACTGTATTCATTGTATTATCATTTTTACATGTAAATAGTTAGTGTTTGCCCCCTGACCTTTTTGTTTGTTTGTTTTGCATATTTGTCACATTTAAATATTACAGATTGTCAAACGAACTTTAAAACTAGTCAAAGGCTGAGTAAACATATCAGTAAGTGCATATTTCTTTTAATGATGATTTGATTTATTAAGGGAAAAGAGTTGTCCAAAGCGACTAGGCCCTGTGAGGGAAGTAATTAACTACCACAGCATTTCAAAACAAGAACATCATACCAACAGTAAAACAGTGGTGATGATGTCATGGTCTTTGGTTGCTTTGCTGCTTCAGCCTGCTCTTTACCAGAAATTCCTTTAGAGAATGTGTGGCTATCAGCTCCTGACGGATGGATTATATGGTATCAGTCACTAACAATAATTAGCAGGGCAGTCATGTATTCTACAAACAATGATTAACTACTTTGCTTTAGCTGTACTATAAAGGAGAATTAAAAAATAAATATCACTATTTAAAGTTACAAGGTTAAAGTTAAAATACCATCATCTTCACATTTGCATTCAGAAATGCTTCCGAAACGACATTTAAAAACATTAAACTGGTAAAGTTATTAGTAAACTTACTAACTCCTCGACCCAGACTGGGCACTGAACCTTTTTCCCACTGGGAACCATGGTATCTAAGTTGGAGATAGTAATTTTCATTCTTGCCACTTCTCATTCAGCTTCAAATTGAACAGACCTGATGACAAAGGGGAGCCACCGAGTCCAACACTCACCGTTAATGAGTTATTGCCAGCAATATGAACCAAGCTCTCACTATGGTTGTACAGGAACTGAATGGCCTATAACAACAGGCCAGACGCCTAATGCTCCCAAAGCACCCTCACACTCCTCACAGGAGACCCTGAGAGATCCGGGCTTTTCCAAACCTACAAAGACACACTAGGTACTGGATACATGTTCTAATGAATGCAAACAACTATTTGACTAACATGTGTGTCTCACCAGCTCTTGTTCCATCTCTGTTCTGTCCTCATTCTCCATCTCCCTCTCTGTTCCTCTTTGTGCTAACTAAAAAGCCAAACACCAACATCATCAAATAT